CTTTCCTACTCCTCTGATGCTGCTTGGCCTGCTGTGTTCATCCAGCTCTACACCTTGTTATCTCAGATCCTCCAGCATCGGCAGTTCCTACTATCTCAGAGTTAATGTTTTGTGTCCTGAACATCTACTTCCATGTCTTTTGCCTACCTTCACATCCCCGGTTCTATCATGACATGCGAATTCATTTTGAACCACCTGTAGCCCCCATTATCACCTCGCTTTACTTCTGTCCTTGTTTACTATCAACAATCCCTTTGTTCCTGTTTCTCTCTCTGTCTCTCTCTCTGTCTGGGCTCCATCTCTACCAATCAACTCACTTCTTTCTTTCCTCTCTATTTTCTCCACACAGATGCTGCCAGACCTGCTGAGGTTCTCCAGCAATTTCAGTTTTTTTGTTTTCTTTCAGATTTCCATCATGTGCAGTTCTTTGTTTTATAATATCAATGGGTTTTTTTGCCTTAGCATCTATCTGTTAGTAATGGAGACAGTTTCAAAGTTTTTTTTTAGTTCCTGCTATATTATGGAATCATTGTGGATAGTTATGGTGCTATAGTTTTAGATGCAAAACAAAACTTTTGTTTTCGGCTGTAAAATAGTTCTCTAGGTCAAGAACATTGTGAATCTTGTTTGTTTTGATTTCAAGTGTTCTATTAAAGTAATATCATCATCTTAGGTTACAGAAGTGACAAGCATGATGAATGATGGTCAGATGGTGAATATAACAATTCTACTGACAAGTGAATTTCCGCAGAATTCTCCAATGTGTGTCCAGTTCTTGAATATCGTCATTAAAAAGTGAGTTTATTCTTAGTGATACAAAATAAATTGCACATCATTAATGTGAGCATTGGGTGTAGGTGCAGGAATAGGCCATTTACACCTTAAAGATTTCTTCACTATTCAATACGATCATAGTTGATCTGACTGTGGTCACAGCCCCAATTTCCTGTCTTAACCCAGTAACCATTGACTGCCTTGTCTATGAAAGATCTAACTCAGCCTTGAGTAAATTTAAACACCTGGCTTCTGCTACCTATTGGGGAAGAAAGTTCCACACTCTAATGACCACGTAGAGACAAGATTTCACCTTATCTAAAAAGGACATTAAAGAGAGTCTTCTGGGATCTAGTTCATTTACCAGTGCGTCAAATGTAAGTTCAAGCTATCCCTGCTCTTATACCTTAAGATGTTTTGTCACTTTAGGAATATTTTAATGAATTTAGTTTTATTTATTCATTTGTGACATGAACTAAGTATAGGAATATGTAAGTACAGTGAAAAGTGCGCAAAGTCGGCATTCACTGGTGCCCACTTGGCTACAAAAACTAGAATCAAAAGATTTTAACAGAGCCAAAAGGTAAGCAAGATAAAAAGAAAAGTCCCATTTCCACAATGTTGCAGGTGCTGCTGCAATCACTAAGACACCCAGGAGGCCTCAGCTGTCGCTACCATGCAAAAAAGGCCTGTTCTCGCTGTCGACTGCTGCTGCCTTACCAGCCTGCTCTTGGCACTGATTGCTGCTGCCTCAAGGGCCCACTGTCGCTGCTGACTTCCACTGCCTCACTAGCCTGCTCTCACTGCTGAACAGGCCCACTCTTGATCCACCGCCATCACACGGGCCCACACTCAATCGCTGTTGCTGCAGGACATTGCCCGTGCGTTCAGCTTCTGCCACACGGCTCCCAGTCGCGACCCAACTCCTTAGGCAGGTAATTAAAAAAGGGCAGGGGAGGATGGGGGAGATAGAATTACTGCAGAGAGGAGAGAGAAGAAGAAGAGAAAAAGAAAGGAAAAGGACAGGGAACTGATGAGCAGAATGGAGCTCCAAATGGAGTGATTTAACCTGTTACCATCTTGCAAGAATTGTCATAAAACAAACACATAATGTGAATAAGATTATTCTTGTTCCAATAGTTTAAAATACTTTGAAATTGTATTTGATGTATTCAAATGAATATTATAGTCATTAATAATGCAAATAATGTTATTTTTCTACATAATTGATCAATATTTTTAAATAAATGAAATGTTTGAGACAGTTATGTTTTTGAACAGAGTTATGAAAATGCTGTCTCTGTACCAAATTGGGCAGAACTTTTATAACACGTCAACTCCAATTCACATTCCTCAACATAGGTATGTCATTTCTTTGATTATAGTTCTAATTTTCTGAAAAATTTTGTAATTATTCCTACTTTGTGATATATAGTGAATTACTGATATTCAAAAACCAATTTTCTTTTCTTGGTTAAAAATAGCCAATAATACTATTTTTAGTCATTTGGTAGTAGGGAGCTTTGGTATCACTTTAAAAGGCACATTTTGTGAAGCTTTCATACAGCAGTGATCAGGACATTACACAAGGATACCAATTCAAAGGGAAAACCAGCAGCATTCTGCTTTAGAGGATAATGTTATGGACCAGACCAAACCCCTTCAAAACAAATCAAGGACACAGAGACAACAAGGTGCAGAGCTGGATGAACACAGCAGGTCAAGCAGCATCATAGGAGCAGAAAGGCTGACGTTTCGGGCCGAGACCCTTCAAGGGTC